GACAAAATAATAATTTATAAATTATCAAGGGCTCATGAGGGAGGGGGGAGCAGAGAGGAAGAGGAAAAATGAGGACCTAATGCTGGGGGCTTAAGTGGAGAGGAAATGTTTTGAGAATGATGAAGGCAATGAATGTACAAATATGCTTTACACAATTGATGTATGTATGGATTGTGATGAGTTATATGAGCCCTTAATAAAATGATTTAAAAAAAAGAAACTAGCCTTACACACAGTATTTTTAATAATACATTCTAAAATAAAAAAGAGGTAGTACACAGAAGAACAGTAATACTAGCTTTGCTACTGTTTATTAAACCCCTTGACCACAAATATTTAAATTTTTGTAATATAATAATCAACAATAGTTAAGAATCAATATGGTACAGGCTTTGATCCCAAGGAGGTTCATAATTCAAAATCATATTTCAAAAGGACCATTAAGTACAAATATTTGGGTAGTGATCTTTATAAACATATTCTGTTTTTTAAATGTTACTATCATATAACTTTAAAATTTTAATAGGTTTACAAGAGATATGTATGTACACAATCTAAATTTATTATCAATATCTCAATGAAGCATGATACTATGATGTACATTTTATAGCTGAGAACTCTAAGGCCTAGAAAGGTTAAGTGATTTAACAAACATTATAAAGTTAACATTATATTAGAGCCAGAACTCAAGCTTATTTATATTTACAATGCCACAGATACCTCTAAAAGGACATATATTCAACAGTATGAATTGAAAAGCAAAAAGTACAATTTTTAATCCTATAAATGTAAAAAATTCCATGGGGAAAAGGTTGATACATTGCTATTGAAGGTATTACCTGTAATAAATAAGAGTAGTGTCAATATTTGACTTCCTAGGGCCTGTCAGACAGAAATGTAATAGAAGCCTGTAAATTAAACAACTGAAGGAGTGACGGAATGATGGGACTACATAAAATTTTTGATTTTAATAGAATATATACATTTACAAACTATCTCATCAATAGACATTTCCCATTTATGATTTTGAAATTTTTTTCAGAAGGTACCTGATAGTCTGGGCCCCACATTAGGTTGTCCTGAGTCCAAGACACCTTCCTTGGGACAATCTGAATGATATACCAAAGGCTACAGCAAAGATAAACACCACACTAAGGATGGCATCCAATCATGGGATGCCTTCTCCTTTTGTCTGTGATGTCTTGGTCCAGCCATAGAGAGGGCTGATGTCAGCAAGGTGATGTAAGGTTGTGGGCATACAGGGGAAAGGCTGAGTGAAGGCTTATAGATCAGTGTTGGGCAAATGGGGGAAGGTGACAGCAGGCAGAAAGGGAAGAGACAAAGGAGTCTCACAGGTCTGTGGGGCTGTGGTATCTAGGGTAGGGAGCAAGAAGTGGTAGGTGAAGGATGAGTGGAGTCCCCACACAGGGCAGGAGGTGGTCAATAACCTAGTCCGACCACCACACCACCCTGCAGGCTCTATGGTGGGGGAAAGACATGGTGAGGAAGGCGTACCCAATAAACATCAATCAGGCCCTGAAGATAGTGTGTAGTCCCCAACTCTCCCATAATACTTATTTTGCAGAATGACCTGATCTTTGGAATCCAGCCATACAGATATAAATGAGGAGTGGGTTTATAAATAATGACAGAAAGGAAATATAAGAATGTTTACAAAATAATGATAAACCCTATAAGATTATCATAATTATTTTATAAATAATAAAGAATAACCAAAATGGCCTATCAGCTGCATAATAGAAAGAAGATGAACTAAGAAGATACAAGAATGTAATATGGGAAAGATGCAGTAATGTTAATAGATGCAGAGAATAAAGAACTACTCACACCTCCTGTTTTGCATCCATCTTCTCCACCAAGGAGAATTGAGTAGAAAACTGGAAAGGGTAGAAGAAACATAGTTAAAAAGTAAATGACGTTGATGTGGGAAAAGAAGATAGTAAAGAGAATACCCTAAAGCCAGTGAACCAGGTTTGAGAAACTCCAGAGTTTCCAGTGGCTGACGTTTCAGAAGTAGACTGTCATGCTTTTCTTCCAAAGCATCTGGATAGACTCAACTCCTCCAATATCTCAGTTAGCAGTGAGTACACTACACAATTTTACCACAGAGCTTTAAGAAAGAGTACCTAGCAACTTGTTAGTTTTTGTTTACATAGCTTTAAATAATCACAGACTGGAATTAGGTATAATCTGTAAAACACTGTAGAAAAGGAAAATAATTCCTAAAATCCAGTGATCTTAAAAATGGAGATTTTAGGAAATATATATCAAAGAAACAAAGAACCTTTGAGTTAAAAAGCTCCTGACAATTCATCAATGCTGATCTTACAAAAAAAATCATTAAACTATCTGCAAGACAGTGCGTAGTCAATAAAAAAGCAAAACCTTATCACCAAGAGTTAACTTCATATTTCACTATTAGTGATGCCAAGCTTTTTCTTCATGATGAATTTCATCTTTTTACGTAAATTCATGTAATTTTATAGATGTGTATACTAGTATGCTGATTTTAGAAAAATATGATGAAAAAATCCAACAAATATATTTAGGAGTAAAAAACATTTAAGTGACAAGTGTTAAATTATTAAATATGAGGTGAGTAAGAATCCAAATATTT